TGAAAATTAATGATGATTTTTAAAATATAAGGCCCTAAAATTTTTAATACCTTGTGCGGTTGACCACTTTGCACACCCTCCGAGCTACCCATGCCAATGTTAATTACTCCCTCCGTCCCATTTTAAATCGTTTGTTTTGATTTTTAGGCATATTTAAGGAAGAGAAAAAAATAGAGTTAATTTTACAATATTTCCATTACTTTTTAGGAGGGGTAACAATGTGTGTGAAGATAAAGTGGAGAAGAGTGACTTATTTTAGAGGTTGTTTAGGTATTTCTCTTAAGAGTTTACAATAACAAATAATATGTAACTTATTTTGAGAAGGAAAAAAAAAGCAGACAAGCAATTTAAAATGGGACAGAGGAAGTATGTTATATCCGCTGCACTGTATTTGTCTCATTTGGCTTTAGATAATTTTAAACTTCAAGTACTCTTAATACATATTGAATATTAGTAAAACGAAATAAGATTTAAAAGTTTCTAATATGATAAATCTAATAAAATCAATTTTATACTAATATACATTACAATTTTTGCTTAATTAACACTTAAAGATCATCTTGTTTGATTCGAAAAAGTCAAACTTAACAAATCCACTGAAACATGTACATTGTTAACATGTACTCTTTTACTCCATATAACATCCGATTATTGAGATAATAAATAAGAGTTGTTTTTCCGTACTCCTAAGATCCACATGTGAAACATTGATCTTCTCATGTTTTTCATCATACTTTTCATAAGCGGACAATCTTTCCTTCTTTTTTTTTGCAAAAGACCCATTTTTCTATATAAATGTACTAAGGTCTATAAAATGAACATAGAACTTAGGATCACGTTAAAATTATATGTTTATAAATGCTAAATTTAAACAATGTCATTTGGATAATTTTCTCTCTCAAAACTCTCTTCTCAAACGAATTATTGCTACATACTCTGACTTTAATAAGAACTATGCAATAAGGATCCGGGCCAAGTTTGATACAAATTATTAGCCCATTTACACGGGCAGGCCTAACCCGGCCCAAATATGATAGACTTAACTCTTTACCCATACCGGTCCATCTTAACGGGCTGAATTACTCACCGGGCCACACGGCCCGAATTAAACATCAAGAATTTTTTTTTACACAAAAAATTCAAAAAAATTTTTTTAGCTCTCTTTTCAATGTTTAAAATAAAATCACCAATCATCACACTTACATAGAAAGCATAACAGAGGTATTGTTCCATGAATAATAAACACATCATACTGATTCATTAAAAATACTTGATTTTTGTTTAAGAGAGGTGGGTGAATTGAACCATTATACATGAACTATAGAAAATTTTAAGAATTATATTGGCTAGGTAATTAATAATAAAGCAAATGAATTTGATAAATATGGGCGGACCTGTTGGTTTTGATGGGCTAAAAATAACTTCCAGATCCTTCAAATACAATTCGGACTCAAACCGATTCGACCATTTGAACATTAAAGATTGTTCATATCCGTCTTTTTAAAAGGACGGGCCAGACGGGCCAACCCTTGTTTGGAAGGGTCTAATTTCAAATTTTCCATCGTAAATAATTATCATAGTATTGGACTTTAGATTTGGACTTGCATTGTTTTCACGTCACATTGCTTAATTTTGGGCCTGTGATTTTTTCACTGCGGGCTCAGGGATGTTTGACGTTTTAATGCTTTTTATTTCTAGGAAAAATTATTTAAAATAATTCCAATTTTACTCAGTCTTTCAAAAATAATCTCACCTTTTAGTGTGATGCATAATAATCCGAACTTTACTGAATTTTCCGAGTTTTGGGTTGCCGTTAAGTTTCTAACGGAGGGTTAACGGAAATGCATGTTTTGGGCAACAAAATGAGAGTTGAGATTATTTTTGATGAATTTTCATTTTTTCATTTTATTTATTTTTTTTTATTTTTTGAATTTTTCATTTAAATTTTTAAAATTACTTTCTACCTCCATCATCATTTCTTTTTCCTTTTTTAAAGATTAGTCTTAGTTTAAAAAAATAAAAATAATAGATATAAAAAAATAAAAAAATGAGAAATGTAACTAAAATGATACAAAAATACTCCGTAATAAAATAAATAAGGTAATCAATAGAAACTAACTTGAAATTGGTAATAAATAAAATAAAAATATACGGGTGGTTTTAATATTTTACGCACTATACAAAGTATAAACGTATCACTTCTTATTTTTTAGAAAAAATTATCTACAATAATTTCAACTTTACCGGACGGCTTGTTCTTTTAAAAAATAAGTAGTACATTAAGACTCCGTATTGTATATAAAATGTTAAAACCCACCACTCCGTATATATTTATTTTATTTCTTACAAGTTTCTGTTTAATTTCTATTGATTACATTATTTATTTCATTAATTTTTTATGATTTTTGTTTATTTTTCTCATTTTCGTTGTTTTTCATATCTATTTTTTATTTTTTCTAAGGTAAGAATAATCTTTAAAAAATAAAAAGAAATGGAGGTTGAAAGTAATTCCAAAAATTTATATAAAAATTTCAAAAAAAATTTAAAAAAAACTAATAAAAAACAATTCCAACTTTTATTATGTTGCCTAAAACAAGCATTTTCGTTAACCCTCCGTTAGAAACTGAACGGCGGCCTAAAACTTGCAAATTTCAATAAAGTTGGTATTATTATGCATCACAGTGAAAAATGGGATTATTTTTGAAAGACCGGGTAAAGTTAGAAATATTTTGGGTAATTTTTCTTTATTTCTAATGTAAGGTTTACAAAATGAGATGTTCCTCTCTTCACCTCCAAAAAAGTTGTATAGAATTTTTGGTAGAGTTTTTAAAAATGAATTACTGAATTTTAAATTTTTTATTTTTATCAGTTTGTAAATAAAATTAATTTTAAAAAGATGATACTCTACACGTTGAAAAGAGACATTTTCTTAGGGGCTGTTTGGCAACTTCTGAATGGGTAAGTGCTAAACCAGTAAGAGGTCTGAATCATTAAGTGCTGAACCAGTAAGAGGTCTGAACCATTAAGAGTTAGTATATTGCTTAACTATTCAGAGGCAAATGTCTGATTAATTCAGATAACAGCTCTTAACCATTCAGACTCTGTATAATACTTAACCATTCAGAGGCAAATCTCTTAACCATTCAGACATCTGAACCATTAAGAGGCTGAAACAAACAGTCTGAATCATTAAGTGCTGAATCATTCAGACATCTGAACCATTAAGAGGCTGAAACAAACAGCCCCTTAGACGAAGAGGTAGTTAATTACCACGTTGATCTAACTTTACGCTTGCACACACTAATTTTACACTATTGGTTCCATCCTTCCTTTGCGAAGAAACCTCTTTGTTTTGTCCCGCGAGCGGAAAAGAAAGAAATAACTAGAGTTTTTAATATAGTCTTTTAATACGTACGTGAAATTTATTTTTTAATTATGCTCTAATTGTCTAACAAATTACTTTAAAAAAAAATCAAATATCGTAAATCGAAACAGTTAATTTAAATTAAGACGTACTCCGTATTTAACAATATGATAGATACTTGGGTGCGTTTAAACCATTATGTAGAGAGAGAGAGAGAGTGATTTATTCAAATATTTAAACATCATCCAACTTGAAAAATGGTCCTACCCACCTTTCTAAAACCCAACAATCTAAAGTTATCTTCTTCACTATTTTTGTCTTTTTTCCTTTTTTTAATTTTTTTTAAATTTCAATGTCTTCAACTGGCCGGATAGTAATTAGTAAATGGTAAGGAGATAATCGAACATTTCTTTGCTTTGATATTTGATTTTCAAATATAAATTCATATAAATTTTTAAATATTTAATTCAATATAAATTCTTTTAATTTTTTTGTTCATCTTATATGTTTTGATAAAAAACGAATATTATTTTATAATATAACACGGAGTATGCAGAGTAAACTCTGCATTATTTAAAATAATAAATAAAATATGGATGATATAGATTAAGTGTCTGTTTGGGAATAACGTCAGATATTAGCAACTATCTATGAATGATGTTTAGTGTTAGCATTTTCAAAGTCAATCTACCCCATTAGTATTTTATATAAAACGCAAACGTTAAAAATGAAAATGTTATTTCCAAACAAGCCATATGGAGATGATATGAATGAGAGGAAATGATTGAATAAATAAGTTTGAAAGTAAGGGATGTAAACGCTCTAATGAACACCTAGTTTCTTATAAAAGATGAAGAAAAAAGCAAATCACATTTTTTTGTGATCAAATGTTATTAAAAATTGTTGCTAGACATTTTGAAAAAGAAATATTTGTATTAAATAGAAGTAAAACTTAAATTATTTTTCTAAATAGCACTTAAATTATTTTATTCCTTAAATAACATTTAATAATGTCCAGTGATGGTAAAGATTTATTACTTGAATAATGACTAATGAATAATGACTAAAAATGCTACATTGAGAAAAAAATACATGTGATGCTATTTAGGCAAAGTCATTATGTTTTAGTGTTATTTACGTAAATTTCCCTTGAAAAAAACATATATACAACCTAATCACTGTTTTTTTTGTTTGGCCTTTTTTAGTCAAATTAGACAAAGTGTATATTTTAATTAAATAAAAAATACATATTAGTGTAAAAATGATTTGCCAAAAGAACGCGAGTGTAAGAACTGAAAATGATTTGAGTCAAACTAGACAAAGTGTAAGAACCTAAGTATGCCAAAAGACGCAAGTGTTCACGCGAGTTTTCTTTCGGTTTTCGGGTCGATTTTGACACTTATCCGTGCGATCGAATCTTTAGGGTTTCAGACTCCATTCACCGAAAATATGAAGGATTTTCATAAAACAATAACGTCTAGAATAAAAAATTTCCAAGCTATCTCGGCCAGGGGCTGTCCCCTGGGGGGTTGATGCCCCTTGGGCCCCGCTACTGGGGGGTTTCTGCCTCCCGCCTCCGGAACCCCGCTATGAATTTGTAACATCATTGAACAAGTGCGCAATTGACACCTCCTAACTCTTTAGACAACGTCTATTCAAATTCTTGTCTAATCTAAGTAAAGCCAATCACATAAAAATAAGACACTAAAATAATAATCTAAATTAAAGAGCCATCCAAAACAACATACCCAAATAGCCAACAATCATCACACAGCCAACTTTCCAACAAGGCATTAGCTAGGAATCTAGGATAGATGCGTGCGCACACAAACAGTTAACAAGTGCAAATGAAATTGAATTAAATAGGACCTCTCCTAAACGCTGATTCCATATACATAAACATGATCACAGTGAAAAACGCTTGTAAACACCAAGCAAGAAGACCAAAGAGAAGAGAAACTGGGACCATTGTTGTAAACGACACACTAGCTTCCTCCCACATTGGGGTTCCCCGTAGCCAGGACGCCGCCGCTGCCGCCGCGCACAGAGTTCCCAGTGAAAACCAGCTTGTGCACTGCATCCATATCCAACTCCATATATAATATATACCCAGCCGTATTTCGGGTTGGAGTATAAAACATTTCATGGGCGAAACATTTACGCTAAATAGCACTAAAACTTAAATACATACTCCTTCCGTCCCATGAAACATGAGATGTTTTGCTTTTTGAATAGATTTAAGGGAGTGTATTTTGGTATTGAATTTCCAAAAATGTCCTTTAATGTGATGGGTAAAAGTAGGATTTGATGGATAGATAATTAGTAAAAATGTATGATGTGATGGGTAGGGTATGAAAAAGTAAGGGGTAAAAGTGACTTTTTAATAGAAATGAGAAGTTTTTATGGGACGGATGAAAAAAGAAAGGAAAAAGGTTTTATGGGACGGAGGGAGTATATACGTACCCAGTCGAGCAGACAGGTGACGGTGAGACGGAACGGGGAAGGCGGGCGTTGTGGTCCCCCGAACACAGCCGTCTTAAAGTCGATGCCCGCGACGATGACGCTCCAGACAAGTTGAACGCATTGCGACTTCAGCAAGTAGCTACACAAAGCAAATCGAAGAAACACCACATGCAATTCAAGTGAAATTACAATAATTAGTTTTTTTTTAGAGATATAATTAATATTTACAGTGTACTCCGTAGCTCTAGCTAGAAATTAAAAGAAAGAAGATGGGTAGAAAAATTAAGAGAGATGTAGATAGATAGATAGATAGGTAGATAGATACCGGAAGGCGGTAACCCGGGCGAAATTGGGAGCTATGAACATTGAAAGAAACGAGAGGAGGGAAAGGAGAGCTTGAGTGAACCGGAGAGCTACTCCGCTTATCTGTCCTGGCCCTCCCAACACCATTTTTTACAAATTAATTATTACTCGCAGTGAATGAAGAAGAAGAAGAAGAAGAAGAAGGATATATCTTAGCTTATAGCTTAGTTCAGACAAATAAACAAACATACACATGGTGGTCATTCTTTAATTAAAGTGAAGGAGGATCGGAGCTGAGGATATATGCCATCCGCCAGCCGGAGATGCTTTAGTTTCCCGTTAGAGACCAAACATCATGAGCAGACCTAAGATATTACAATTGATTACACAATTGATTAAAAAAAGAAACAGAACAGCGATGAACACAATTGTGCGAGACTATTAGGGCACTCTCTAACAGACCCAAGAATAAACAATATGATAGAGATGATTGTAGAAAAAACATACCTTAAAGATCTCAATTGGAAGCAAGGAGAGGATGAAAGAGAGATGAAGAAGACAAGCACGGGAGAGGATGAAGGAGAGACGGACGGTCGGAGAAACGGCGAAGGATAGGAGGATGCAAGGAGTTTTTATAATCCCGGACTTTTGGATGAGATTTGAGAATAAATTTATATTTATACCCAATGCTAAAAAATCCATCAAAGTCCACCCTTTTAAAAATCTCTAAAAATATATCAAATTTTTGAATACCATTATATTTAGAAGAATTTTTTAAAATCTTAATTGAATACTCTCCGATTTTAAATTACTTTTTAAAATCTGAATTGAATACTTATAGATTTTCAGAATCCAAAAAAATCCATCAAAATCTGGATTGAATACACCCCCTAGACTATTAATATCATATATAGATATATATTGAAAAATATAGTATTTCAAAATTATGTTTCAAAACAAATCCATTAGTATTAATTTTATATGATAATTCAATATATATTTAATGTAATTCATGATTAAAATTTAAAAAGTTTGACCAAGAAGTCAAAGTTGGAACAAATAATTTGAACAGAGGGAGTATTAATGAAATAAAATTCACATTGTATTAGATATTGATATATAAAAATAATTTTACACGGAATGCTTATGATTTATCTTGTATTAAATTATTTTTATTCTTTAACCTAAATGATATACCATGTAATTTTATTTAATTGAAGCTCAAAAATTCAATTTACAAAACATCAAAACTAAATAAATACGTTTTATAAATATTGATACATGTGTATTCATCCATTTCTATGAAATGTAAAAATATTGCTCCCTATACCCCCAAAAAGGGTCCAATTTGATTTTTTAAGGTCAAAATTATTTATAGTTTGACATGAAATGTTTCTAAATGTAATTTTGAAATATCACATGTTTTATAGTATATAAATATAGACATTAATTTTCAAATTGTCAGAGTGGAAACGGTCAAATGAAAACTTTTTGGGGTGGATGGAATATAACATTACTCTCTTTGTACTATATCACTAAAATAATAGTAATAGTAATGATATTAATAATAATAATAATAATAATAATAATAATAATAATATTAATTTTTTGACCAAATCTCAGATATAAAAAAAGTCAGTTCAGTGTCCAAAACTTGTGTACTTAAGTATTTGTAGTGGAAGTCGTGGCGTGTAGGCTTGGCTTGAAATAATATTTCCTTTCCTTTACACTATATTTGGTTTGCAAAATTTGGAAAAAAATTCTCACTTTTTTCACCAAAATAAATTTTTTTCCCTCTCTAATTATATAAGAGAAATGAATGTTCTTTTCTTTTCTTTCTTTCAAATTTTTTACGATAGTGTTTGGGAACTACATTTTATTTCAAATCTAAAATTTGAATTCTTAAATTTTCAAAGACAAGAAAAGACATATGAATTTGTAATTGAGTTTTGTTAAAAATCAGAGAAATTTGTCTCATATCAAAATATAAACATCTAGAGAATATTGGTTATAGGTAACTTGGGCTTATGAAATTCGGCCTAAAATGGAACAAGGCCTGCAATCAAAAAACAAGGCCAAGGGCATTCTGGTCATTTCCAGCTGGACCTCAGCCAGTCAGCCACGTCCTTGATTTTTCTTGGGTCTAGTTTCTTTTATGGACTTTTTCTTGGTGCATTTTAGTACTCCATAGAATACTTCTATGGATTAATCCATTTGAACTTTAGAATAAATTCAGTTTAAATTTCATACCAAATCAAACCAGATTCTAATGAACTCAGATAGAAATCACTAAAATTAGACGAAGAAAACATGTCCTAATTGATGAGAATCTAAAACCCCAGAAAATTACTTACAGGTGACGCGAGTTTTGTTGAAATAACTCTCAGGTCCCTCTATTTTCAAGAAGACAACTGAGGTCCTTATATTTTGTTGTAATGACTGAGAGGAGACATTTCATCCAATATGTCATCCATAAGTATTAACAAAAGTATTTTTTTCCTATTTTCCCATTACCGTTTTTTCCTATTTTGCCATTACTCAGTTTTTTCTTTTTTAGAAAATATTTTATTTCATTTATTTTAATATAATACAAACAATTTGAATTTTTATCCGATTTTATGAAAGAAAATCTAAAATAACACTTTAAAAAAGAGTAACAAAAAAAGAAAAACAAAGAAATAAAAAAAGAAGAGACCTAAGATTTATTACCTTAAAACATTTAGAAAAAAATAGGAAAAAAATACATTTATTTACATTTATGGATGAAATATTGGGTGGAATGTCCCCTCCCAATCATTACAACAAAATGTAAGGACCTCCGTTGTCTTCTTGAAAAATAGAGGGACCTGAGAGTTATTTCGACAAAACCTGCGTTACCCGTGAGTAATTTTCTGCTAAAACCCATCAACAAATAATAAAAAACCAAAACCAGCAGAATCAGTTGAACAATATTTAGATTGTGAAAATACTGACCAAAATAAGAGTGAAAACATATTTTACAGGACAATAATTTTAAATAAATGGTTTTCAAGTCATTGCTTATATGTCCGTCAACCGTCGTGCTAAGTGAAAACGGAGTATAAAAAATAGAGCGCTTAGGAACAAGAGTACAAATTTCAAAATGTACAATGGTCCTAACCTTGAAAAATACAAATAATAAATGACATCTCTGAGACACAAAACTAAGATTATATTAGAGAAGAGAGCGAATAAAACAATAATGATTTTCGTAACATGGAAATAGGAAATATGTCTCTATGTTGTTGTTGGTCCATCCAAGCAATTGGCCGTGGGCAAGGAAAAGAGACGGTTTGGTTTGATTTTCCAAACCGTATAGATCTTCTCTGATTGTGTTGTACTATACCAATCCGTCGATAAATTGCGCTTTTTCTCTTTTAAGGATAAAATGTTTACAACTATACAAGATAGGAAAGTTGTGTCACTTGAGAGAGTAAACTGCATAATACTTATACAAGGCATACAACATCCACTCACTTGGTGCAGAGTGCAGACTATAAGGTGATTTTTAGAACAAAAAACTTGTACTAAATTTATAATTTTTGAACAAATTGCTCCCTCCGTCCCAAAAAAAACACTATCTAGTTTGACTTTCACGGTGTTTAAGAAAAGTGTTGAAAATTGCGTGGCTCAAATTTGTTCAAATGGAAGCAAACTCGTGAGTTTATTCCTTTAAAATGAAATAAAATAAGTGGGGAGTACTTTTTGGGATGTCCGAAAAGGGATATTGAGGAGTGCCTTTTGGGACAGGGGAGTCTATGTGATTATCCCTTTAAATGTATGTATAAATAGGTCAAAAATGTCAAATCATAACAAGGAAAGTTGAAAAAACAAAGGTATAAAATATTGGAGTTCAAAAAAAAAGGAAGCAGACATAGACATACAGTTGTGGTAGGGGGGACATACCTTTCGTAAATTTCAGGCGAATACTAATAGTGAATGAAATCACATTTGTGATGATGCCATAAATTTATTTTTCTTCTCGGCGGGTTTAAGAATCTGAAAAGAGCACATCAAATTCTCATCGACGCTCATCATGGCACCGGCGTTATCAAATTCCCCACAATAGTTTGGTGCCGAAAAGATGGTGACAAGCTGCCTGTCAGCAAAGAATTCATACCCATCCTCTACTACCTGTGAACGAACAAAAACAAAGGTTTACTATATGTTAAAAACAGTATTATTAGTCTGCTTAGATCTTGGAAGATGCAAGGGAAATATGAAGTAAAAAGTAGGGGAAATTTGGAGGGAAAGAATATGTAAAAGTGGGAAGCAAACTCAATAAATCTACTATTTTTATCTGTTCAAATGTTTATTACACAAGAAATTGACTGCCATTGGCTCATTTTTTTAAAGTTTCGGGCAGGAAAATGCTCAAGGACAGGTTCAAGGAATGGCGGAATCTAGAGAATGAGTGAGGGTAGCTTTCACACCCTCACTTGAAGGGCATTTTTGTCCAATCCATAGCATTCCCTGGTCCCTATCTTAATTCCTTGTTTGCCCTCTGCCTATCATTTTTGGGGATCCAAACACACCATTCGAAATCACAAAAAAGAAAAAGAAAACAGGCAAGGTTTAAGGTTAATTACTTGATGGGCCCGGCAAACAAGATCCAAATCGTGCTTTGCTAAAAACTCGGACACTTTGTCCGGTCCAAAGGTAAAAGAAACTCCTCTATCATTCATCCCCCACCCCTTCACATCTTTACCCGGGTCGGACCAAAGCAAATCACAAAGCAAACCCGTGTCTGGAATAGCTGTTGGACGGGGCAAGTTTCTAATTTGGTCCAAGTTTGATAGGTCAGGGGATAAGCCTCCATGCATGCACAGTATTTTATCATCAACAAGAGCCGCCACCGGGAGACAGTTAAAACAGTCAGTAAAGGCTTTCCATAGTCTTACATTAAACCTGCGTTTACATTCATCATAAAATCCATAAATCCTGTTGATGGAAGCGCATTCATGGTTCCCTCTTAGAAGAAAGAAATTTTCTGGGTATTTGATTTTGTAGGCAAGCAAGAGGCATATGGTTTCCAAACTCTGTTTGCCACGGTCAACATAGTCCCCTAAAAACAGATAGTTTGCATTGGGAGGAAAGCCTCCGTATTCAAAAAGGCGTAATAGGTCACTGTACTGACCATGAATGTCACCTGAAACCATAAAAGAGATTACAAATCATACACACACTAATGAAACTAGAGAAAGAACCGGGATAACTTAAGGGCATTCTTGTAAAAAAAACAAGTGATAAATACTCTGTTTAGATAAAAGGTCTTGGAGGGCATCTAAATCTTGGTATATACTCTGTATTTGAGTTTGTATGATAAAACTGAAGGAAGAACATTATAATTGATTACAAAACATTTTAATCACCCTTTATTTGATTTTAGAAAGATTCTAGTTATGAAGATATTGACCAGTCCCTCCAAACTCTTTTTGTCCAAAACCCTCCATCCAAACTGATTCTTAGCTGTGCTTGGATGACAGTTAGATAACACTAACTCAACCTTGAACTGCATTTACCACTTAAGGCAGTGGTAATCAAGATTATAGCATGTTGTTTAGAGCTTCGCCAAACCTTGTCCAAATCACTATTTTCGGACGAAAATCCTGAACTGCATGAGCCAAATGAACAGCTATTTTGCAAAAAAATGGTGGAACTTGAACCAATTGTGTCACTAAAAACAATGATAAAAAGTAGGTAAAGTGGAATAAAAAAGAAAATTTTGGTATTCCTATAACAATAACGTAAAGGGTTGCACAAAAAATATTTTTTTTAATGTGTTCCAAAATTCAACCATTATTGTGTAAAAAATTGGGTAAAGTTAGGAGATGGCCTTAGTCAACAATGGTCTAACTGCTGTTTGGCAAACATTGGTCCTTGCATAAACATTCTTTGAAACAACGAAAAAATTAACCTGTGCAAATACGAGTACTTAAATTTTATGAAAAACTCAAATGAGAATTTTTTAACTTGATGTGAGTGGAAAATAAGAAGCAAAGAAACATCAAGAATCTCAACCAATAATGAAGGTTCAAGTATTGATACAAGATTAGAACTAAAAGGAACAACCAATAAAAATGAAAGATCAAACAAGAACAGGATATTTCAATCTATGAATCTTTAGAGAAACAAAGCATATAACTTTCATTAGACATCAGGCTCAGGTCTACTTACAGGAATCATCAACATGGCTTTTTTCAGTACATAGGAACTGAAACCTAGACCTAAGTGATACAATTCAAATTAAAACCTCGAAAAAGAACAATTTACCTCAAAAACTCCATCAAGAAAACACTAATAATTACAAAAAAAACCAAAAGCAGGTCAACCAAAGAACGCTAGCAAAAGAGGAGTAATAACAGAAGATCCAAACAACAACAAAAAAAAAAGCTCAAAAACTGTTAATGGAGAAAAGGGTTACCGCAGATTTTGATGGGTGCTTCGAGTTCAAGAAGATTGGGCTGTTTGATGAATATGTCTCGGGAGGCGGCACAGAGCTGCTTGATTTCTGACTCAGTGAGTTGAACCAGCTTTCCGGGCTTAGAAGATCGGACCTCCGTTAGCTTCTCTATGATTCTATCCACTACTGCAGAGTCCATTGACTCAGAATTGCACTCGATCTCAGATTCTCTAACCTCTGCTTTTCTTCGCTTTCGTCTCAGTTGTTTTCCCTTCTTTTAGGTCTGGGTCCGGTAGATTTAAAAAAAAGGTCTTCTCTATGCTTTGAAAAAACATGGACCAATGCTCTTTTCTTTAATAGAAAATTGACCGGAAAATGATTAGAATCGGTATGCATGCTACATTTTAAAATTACAGAAACTTTAGATATAAATTTTGAAAATAAAAGAATTGTAGCCTATTTTCCAACCATTGGGGTACTAGTGTTATTTGACCATCTTAAAAAGGTTTTTACAAGTACTACCTCTTTTTAAGAAATAAACTTTATCATTTCAACTCTTTTTAATCTAAAAAATTAAAAATGTCTTATTAAAAAAATTAAAGTATTCATTTCAATAAATCTCCTAGACTCTACTAGATCCTATTAAATTGTTATTTTTATTCATTTAAATAAATCGCAGGTAATGATAGGAGAATCTCATTTCTAAAACATTTTTAACACCAAAAATAGTATCATAAGCAAGGTTTTTTTAAAGTCTTTTCAATTCAAATACAGGTATAATATGTTCATGTATAATATGAATCACATTTTTTACACAATTTTAACTACTCCGTCTCATAAACTCTTTTTCCTTTCTTTTTTCTTGTCCTAAAAAATCGTTCTCATTCCTGTTAAAAAAATCATTTTTATCCCTATTAATTCATACCCTACCTATCATATCTTTTTACTTATTATCTATTTATCACATCCTACTTTTAACCATCATATCAAAGATAGTTTTGAAATGTCAACACAAAAATTTCCTTTTCTTAATTTTATTAAAAGTCAAAATGGAAAAGACTTTAAAGGACAAAGTAAATATATACTTTATATTTCATATGTTCAAAATATGTGTATGGATACATTCGTGTTGTATATGTTTGCTTTTTCAAAAGAATAAAGTTGGGGTACACTAAAATGGTATAGCTCATTAAGTATATGTGATCATAGACATTTAGTATCTGAGTTTGTACAAATGCAATGCACCATTTTGGTGTACCTCTAGTATGACCCTTTTCAAAAACAACCATGCTAGGGTACACTAATAAATTTACCTCAAATTGTACCCAAAGAGATACACAATATTTTAAATGTTCACGCTAGCATAAAATGGTAGTTCAAATAAAAAAATTTGTACTAACATTTTGTATCATTGCAAATCTTCACGCTAGCACAAAACATCAATGTATGCCTATGAATCCGTTTCTTGTTTTAAAACAAAATCCAAACCAGCGGTTCCAAAACTAGAATTGGAACTTTTGAGTTGTGTGTGTGTGAAAAAGTCATACTCTCTCCGTCCCAAAAAGATCGTTACGTTTCATTTCTTTGCGCATCCCTTAAAATATTTTTATATCGTCTCAAATGCCAAAAAAAACTTTCAAAACAATTTCATCTTATAATAAAGAGTAAATATGGTAAATTTTAGAAATTTTAGATGTGAGTAGCATTGCTTTTTGTGATGCGCAAAGAAATGAAACGTAACGATCTTTTTGGGACGGAAGGAGTACTAGAAACAAATTATAGTGTTACACTTAGACTATGAAAAAGTCATAGTGGAAAAAAATTATGAGACCAATGAAATACCCGAGCATAAATTTGTAGTTGAAACATAAAATATAGTCGGCTAATATCATAAACCATGAAAATTGAATGGATAAAGCTTTAACACTATGTTTGATTAAACAAAATTGAAAGGAAAAAGAAAAGAAATAAAGATAGAAAATAGTTTTTCTTGTTTGATTAAAAAAAGTAAAATTTACACTGAATAGGACTAAAACATAATGACTTTCCTAATCTAGGACTTAAATTTTTTTATTCCCTAAATAGGACTTATTAATGTCTTGGTGGGAGGAATAATGTTGAGTAATAATGGACATTTACTTGAATAATGACTAATTCATAATGACCAAAAGTCCTACATTGTGAAATAAAAACATATGGTCCTATATTGGAAAAATCATTATTTTTAGTCATATTTAAGTAAATTACTCTTAAAAAAAGATGGATAGAAAAGAAAATGAAAAGAAAAAATACAATAAAAGAATGAGAAACTAAATTTCTTTTATTTTGGTCAGGAAAACGTCAGAAATCTATTTTCTTTTTTTTTTCTTCCTAATTGTAGAACCAAACAAACATAGTATAAAGGAATAGTTGGGATGGGTGTCGTGGCATAATCTAGGCACCATATTGGAATCAATGTGTTGGAAAATATTCTGCAAAAGAGATTGAAGAGAATGAGTGAAACAATAAATGGAGGTTAAGGACACAATTGCGACCAAAAAATAGATATATTCCTTGTCGACGATAATGGAGAGAAAGAAGATTTATAGTTCGTTTTGAGCTTCACCAAGTAATTTAACCCTTTGTTAAGATATTTAAAAATGCTAGGGATATACCAAAATATGTACTACTCCAAGTAAATCCCAAATCATTTTCACAATATAATTAGGTCCGATCTTGATATAAAAGAAATAATAAGTGAATAAAAAAAATTTATGATTAGAATGAATGGTGTATAAATGGAACACACCATTTGGTGAATTCTTAACATTACTCTAAGATATTAGGTCACAATGGGAAGACTAATATAATCCCCAGTCCCAACGCCTTTAATCAATTGTCTTTGTTGTCACGTTATCATTTTTATACTCTCTCCATCCCAAAAAGATCTTCCTGTTTCATTTTTTGTGCATCCTATAAAACACTCCTATACACATCTAAAATACCTAAAATTTACCACATTTCTCATTTGTTGTAAGTAGAAGTTGTTTTGAAAGTTTTTTTTGCATTTGAGGCGGGATAGAAGTGTTTTATGAGACGCGCAAAAAATGAAACATGTAGATCTTTTTGGGGGAAGGAGTATTTTTCTACACAAGGGCCAACCAGTTGCAATGTTATCACCTTCTCGCCTCATGTCTCTATTTATTTTATAGGTTTTTGTTATCCTTATCAAAAAAATTATTTTACCTAAAAACTTACTCTCTCCGTTCATCATCACTCTTTTTAGACATTATTTACAAGATCAAACTTGACTCACTCAATTTTTTAATACTTATTTTACAAAATAATATATTCTTACCACTTCTTGTTTTGTAGAACTCTTTATCTAGTTTTTTTATTATATAAATTTATTTTTAAATTTTACACCAACAATCAAATTTATAGAATTTAAGATTGGATGAGGATTACTAGATTGTTTTCATTACTAGACACTTTATGATTTATAGACCTTAGATATTTTATGATTTAAATTTAAAAATATACTATTTTTCATTATCTATTATTATATGATATTCTTGATTAAATTACAGAATACATACAATTGTTCAAAAAAATGTGTCGCCATCCCATGACATACTGTATTTACACTAACATTCTTAATGATTTCAAAATTATTGAGTAAATTTAATTAATTATGGAATAATCATCGCTTTATTAAAATATATAAGTATTTTTCTAATTTTATATTTTTTACACTTCATTTGTGATAAAACTATCAATGAATAAATAAGATTTCCTTCCCTAAATACAGATACTTTCTGAACCTCTAAATAATTTCTATTTGTTTATGACATGCTTGACCAAAGTTAGTTTGTATTTTAATTATTTTCTATATGAATTTAAAATAAAATATAAAAATATATTTGAATCTTTACATTAAAATACTCTGAAACAAGAAACCGCTAGACTATTTTTTAAATGATCAAATATTTATATCAAATAAATTAATAAAATAATTTTTCACAGGATCAAATAATTTTGTATTCAAACAAACAGAAAAAAACTAAAACTATCAGATGTTTTTGAAAATTTTTTAATGTTGGGGGAGTGGAATCATTGGATTTTTAATGTTTTTTAAATTATTACCATATTTTCTTGAATCATAGTATTGCTAATCCAAGATTTTACTTTTGAATTATATGGGAAGAAAAGAATCATTTTTTCTAATTAATGTGAGCGAAGAGAATCATTTTAATGCATGAAAGATGAATAATATTATTTATTTCTCTATTCTAAATTAATGGAGCGATGTGTGGTACTAGAATCGTGTTTTCTTTGACTCATAAGGTTGGTAATCAATTTTTTTTAATTAATGCAAAGAAGATCGAATAATCACAGGATCATATTTTTATTTTATTTATTTTTCAATTAATCTGGGAAAGAATAATCATATTTTTTAATCAATACCAGAGAAAAGAATCATATTAATGTTGGAAGATGAATCAATTTTTTTAATAATCTAAACTATTATGGGTGCCGGGATATATCATATATATACTCTGCCCATGAATAGCGATTGTATAACAGTTGAGTTTAATAAATATATAAACAAATGTTCGTGAATCTTAAATCACGAAGTAATTTTAATTTGAATAAAGTTATAAAAATAAATGTTATTGATGAACCTTGATCAACAATTTAAATTTATGTGTAATAGTACAATGTTCATGATTAGAGAGTTGCAAAAAATTAGCATTGGTATAATTTTAATATTAGAAATCAAAGTCATAAAAATCGTTTACATGGCCTAAATTAAATAAATTGTGCATCATTTCATATAGGATTATGCTTGAAGTTTCAAATAATATAATTTTCAATACTTTATATTCCGTTATGATTATGAATAAAGTTAAGACAAAATGTTGACATGTAAAAGAAATCTTTTTACCAAGTCGGTAGTCACTTACATACGATAAATTTTATATTGTTGTTTCGCAAGTAAGAGTAAAAGTAACAATGAAAATATTAATTTTAAATGCCTTTGATAATCTTTATAACATCACAAAAATGTAATATACCTGAAATTTTTTCAAAATGTTTAAATTTAAAAAAGACTTTGACATTTAAATTTCAAATGTATTTGTAAAAATTTCATTAGAAAATATTATGTCTTATCATTATTTTAGCTTTTATGGTTGATATTTTATTTTGTTGGATATTTGAAAATTGATGTAGTGAAGAAAATATTAGTTAAAATACTATTTTAATGTTATATACAAGTTTCTTCATTTTTTAATTAGTCCAGTTCAAAATAAAATATCAATCTTAATGATATCTAAGGATTTCAATATGATTATATGAAAGCAATGAAAAAACTAAATATATTAATCAATTCGGTGTCTTGGAGACCCCCTCCTTATAGTTGATATTCCGTAGAATTTAGGATGTGCAGTGGTAAATGTTACTCGATTGAGTCACAAGACATATCAGCTGAACTAAATTAAAAAATTAAATTCAAATTGATTATTTAGTTTAACTCAATATCTTATACTCCTTCCATTCTATAAAAGTGTTCCTATTTTGACTTTGTGTAAAAATAAGAAAGTGTTAAATTGTAGTTGACTTCCAATTTTGCCCTTGATGTGATGGGTAAAAGTAAGATGTGATTGATTGAGTATTAGAGAAAAAATATGATGTGATAAGTAGGGTATGAAAAAGTAAGGGTAAAAGTGGTTTTTTAATAGATAATGGAAGTGTTTTGTTGGAAGTAAAAAATGAAAGATGAAGAGTTTTTCAAAACGGAGGAAGTACACGATTACTTTTTTCATCAATTTCCAATGTAGGATATTTTAATACTCCCTTCTCAAGCAAACAACCAAACCATTTTAAAATAGACGGTTGATCAATCACTTGCTAATGTGTTATATATTTTAGTGTAATTGGAAAAACTACGACCAATGGTATCCTAATAATCATCAAAAGAAGTTTGGTGGTGCGGAGTGCACGCTTCATTGAGTTTGTTACGATAAAAAATCCCGTTACATTGGGGGTTCCAAGGGGGCAGCGCCCCCGAGCAAGGTTCAAGGGGCGGCAGCCCCTGCGGGGTCCAAGGGGCAGAGCCCCTGGCTGGGGTCGAGATGCTAAAAAAAATTAGGGTATTTCAATTGGAATTTTTTATTTTGGGCAAGGCGCTATGTTAAAAAAATTTAATTGGAATTTTGTACTCCCTCCGTCCCGGAAAACATGGGAGTTTTGGTTTTGGAGAGAGATTTAAGGAGAGTGTATTTTGGTATTGAATTTCCAAAAATATCCTTTGATGTGATGAGTAAAAGTATGATTTGATGGATAGATTATTAGTAAAAAGGTATGATGTGATAGGTAGGGTATGAAAAAGTAAGGGGTAAAAGTGACTTTTTAATAGAAATGAGAAGTGTTTTTTGAGACGGATGAAAAAAGAAAGGAGAAAGGTTTTCTGGGACGGAGGGAGTATATCCGCCGAAGATAGCGTTGTTTTCCAAGGGGTTTTTCCGCCGAAGAGTTGCGTGCCTTGGGTAAATGGCCACGAATGGTGTCTTCTCTTTCTCACCCCAAGTCTATAAATTCCCGCGAGGCATGGTCGAATTTCGTTCGGATTTTTCATAGCAATTCTCATATTTCGTTTTTGATACTTTCGAGTTTTATCCGATTGAATTTTGGAGCGAACAACCAAAATATTCAATTTGAAAGTGTTTACACAACTCTCGATTCATCCAAGTTATCGTTAATTTCTCCGACATAATGAACTCTTTTCTATTTGGAAAATTGGAACATAATAGCTAGAGAATGGGGCAACACCACCTATATGACTACGAGTCGTTGGAAATTGACTTTCTGACGAACAATCAGGTTAATTAAATTGAACACTGGGAATGAACATCTAGACAAAAATCTTATAAACGAGGTGGGCCAAAGCTTCTTTTCAATACCACAATAGAATTTAGGATGATGCAATAATTATTGGATTGAGTCATGAGATACTTATGCTCAATTATTATGTTAAAATAATTAAATTCAATCGATTACTTAATTCAGGTCAAGATTTAAATACGTTTTTTCTCTCTTCAAATGTCTACATCTAAGGTATGTGAGATATTTGAACAGTAGTCGAGTGTCCAAACAAAAAAGAGCTGGAATTGAAGATATATACCGGCAGGCAGGTTGATAAGTGGTTGATTAGGCAGAACAAAAGCTAGAGATTCTCATAGGATAATTAAAACCATGCTATATATACATATATATATTCTTCCATAAAAGTCGTTTGTGCGGGTGAGCGTTGCACAGTTGGTAAAACAAAAAGTAGTACCGAAGGAGTAATTAAGATCTGAGTTTAATTCCCGACATGCAGCTGCGCAGGAAGGTAACTATGCTAAGCATAAAGTCTCTGCAAGTAACAAGTACATTTATCTTCTTTCAGTGACCGTCCGATCGAGTCTGAGGGTTTGGAGATGGTTTGTCAAGTTGAAAATCTAGTCATAGTACTCCTACTTTTGAGAAGAGTATATGCCCGCTGGACTGCCGACGACTTCGATTGACAGTGATGAGTGGTGGGGAGGGAGGGGGCCTGTTAATTACTACGCGGTTCGGACTTCGGACAGCCTTACTCAAAAAATAAGAAATATTCTTGGAACAAATATTTTAAGGTAGTGTTTGGCAACTAGCATTTCATTTCAATTCATGCATTTTAATTCCAAAATTTGAAATCTTGAATTTCAAATGACAAGGAGAGATGCATGTATTTCAAATTAAGCTTTGTTATGAATGAGAAGAATTTGATTCAAATCCAAATTTAAAATTTTTAAGTTTCCCAAACATGGAATTTGAGCCAAATCCGAATTTGAAATCTAAATCCATGTTCCCAAACATACCATAAGAGAAATTTACCTAAATAGGACTAAAATATAATGACTTTCCTAATATATGATTATATGTTTTTATTTCCCAATGTAGGACTTTTGGTCATTATTAAGTAGTCATTATTCAAGTAAATGTCGTCTAGCATTACTGGACATTATTCCTCCCACCAGGTCATTATTAAGTCCTATTTAAGGAATAAAAAAGTTTAAGTCCCACATTGAGAAAGTCATTATGTTTTAGTCTTATTTAGTGCAAATTTTACATACTTTAAAGTTTAAACTAACCCTAAAAATATCAACACATAATGTTAAATTACGAGCGTTTCACAGTTTTAAAAATTCTATTTATTTTTGAGAAAGATTATCTAAGATAATCTTAACTTTACTCGATCTTTCAAAACTAATTCCACATTTCACTATGATGCACAATAATCCCAACTTTAATTTACTAAATTAAAATTTGTGGGTTTTGGGTCGCCGTTAATTAAGTTGCTAATGGCGGAACGACTTGTTTTGCGCAACAGAATGAAAGTTTGGATTATTTTTTTATGAATTCTCTTTTTTGAATTTATTTGAAAATTTTTAAAATTACGATACAAAATTAATAAAATAAATAAGGTAATCAATAGAAGCTAAAATCCACCACTCCATATATATTTATTTTATTTCTTACCGGTTTCACTATAGTTTAATTTCTATTGATTATTTATTTACTTCATTAACTTTGTATGGTTTTAGTTATTTTTCTCGTTTTCATTATTTTTTATATCTATTTTTTATTTTTTCTAAGGTAAGACTAATATTTAAAAAAAGAAAAAGAAAAGGAGATAGAAAGTAATTTTAAAAATTTAAATAAAAAATTCAAAAAATTAAAAAAAATTTATCAAAAATAATCCCAACTTTTATTTTGTGATGCAAAATATGCATTTCCGTTAACCCGTCACTGATAACTTAAGGGCGACCCAAAAATCATTAATTTTAGTAAAGTTGAGATTATCATGCATGACTGTAAGTGGTTGGATTATTTTTCAAAAACCAGGTAAAATTGAGGTGATTTTTGATAATTTTTCCTTATTGTTTTGTCATATAAGTGAAGATTATTTTAAAAAAAGTTTCCATCTAAGAAAGAGATTTCGATTAATGATAGTAAATGATGGGAATTATTACATGGAGTGGTAATAATTCGATTTGATTCAACTTTTTATAATTATAACAAAAGCGAATTTAGTAAAATTAGATTTATTTTAAAATATTGTTTTGATATATCAATTCATTATATATAACATTTAATTATTTAAAAATAAACTTAATTATTGATCCAAATATTGTACACTTTGACAAAAAAACATGACATTCCTTGGGGGTATGTAAAATTTATTTTGATTGAGCTAATTTTTAGGCTTGTGTAGTGCTCTACTGAAACTCATCTCATCCGGCGTGGCATTGCCACCTCAGTTGTGATCACGGATGAACAGGTTGATATACGTGTGATTGATAAATTAATAATGAATAAATATGATGTGATATGTTATAATTTTCTTTTTGTAGGCTTTTATTGGTAAATATTTTTAAACTTTGACCACAATATATATAAGCTACTTCATGATAAGTTTAATTCTGAAACATACGTAATTTCTCATTTTAAAATGCCATATTTATTAAAATACTCGGCATACTTGTACTCTATTCGTCCAATTTGTTTTTTTTACATTTGACTTTTTAATATCTCCAAATTAACATTTTGACCATTAATATACGTATTTAAATACAAATACTTCGGCATATATGTTATAAATATTTGATATTTTAGAACTATGTCTCAAATTAAACTTATAATATTCCCTCCGTCCCAAAAAGTTCGACACGTTTCGAAAAAACTGTGTCCCATAAAGTCCGTAACATTTCTATTAAAATACCACTTTTATCCCTTACTTTTTCATACCCTACCTATCACATCATACCTTTTTCTTAATAATCTACCCATCACATCCTACTTTTACCCATCACATCAAGGGTATTTTTGGAAAGTCAACACTAAAATATCCATCCCTTAATTTCCCAAAAAGTCAATATGTACCAATCTTTTTGGGACGGAGGGAGTATAAAATTAATTAACATCACAAGTTATTATATATTTTTTCAATTTAATTATAGCCAAAATTTTAAAAAGTATCAGTCATAACTCATAAGAAGTCAAATGAGAAAAATAAAATGGATAGAGGAAATATAAAAATAGATATATTAATTTAACAATTAAAATTATGCAGGAAAAATTGTGAAAAAGTAAACAACAAGAAGATATAATTTTTAGGCGTGATTTTTTTGGATTTAAAAAAAGGGATCCGGAGTACTTCGTAAAATATATTTTATCCGATCTTATTGGTTGGCGGGTCTTTGCACTTATTATATTAATCAATAGTTACCAACTAATAACTACTATACTCCCCATCCAAAATTAATTTATGATTTGATTTTTCACGTATTTTAATAAAAAAATATTTCAAAATATGTTTCAAATGAAAATGAATTTATTGATATCAAATTTTGTAATATGTAATTAAAATTTTAAAGCTGATCACAAAAGTTAAACTAAGACGATATTTGAGAGTAATTAACTTGTGGATAAAGTGATTTCTACAAAAGCTGAAATAAAAAACAGCTCATACCTGCTTCTCTGAAACGGTGTTCTATGTACAAGGTAGTGTTGGTGAAAAGCAGAAGTTGACGTTTCAAACAGAGTAAAATCAATTCTACTTAAAGCAGAAGCTAAATTGTTAAAAGCAATACACTGCCAAACACCCTCTAAGAAATTAATTTTAAGGGAGAGAGTACTTAACATATTTCAAGCGTGTAATTAATCTCAAACTAAAGATTTGTCATTTTCTTTTGAGATATGATCCTTAAAAAAGCAATACGTATGTTGGTTCCTTTGCTTCTTCATGTTGGCTACTTGGGTTACATCCTTATCAACAATTAGTATTAATTATGTTAACACCACATCGTATAGCATATGATGCCATACCATATTCTATTTTCATTTGGGTTTTTCATATAAATACCCATTCATCTCTCCCTAATTTCCTTCCATTCATAAACCAACAAAAACTACATACATTACCATAGTAATTAATATAAAAAATTATTTAACGACAATATTTAATTAATAATTATAAAAATAATATTCCTTAGTTAATTGCTAATTATAATGGATAGGAGGAACGGAAGAAGCAACGGCAGGAGGGCTGAGAGCAACGGCAGGAGGGCTGAGAGCAACGGCCGTCACTCTTCGGCGTCCCACCAAACGCCGCCACCGCCGTCGCAGCCAGTACCGTCGCCGCCATCCCCACCTTCACCACCAGCACAAACACCGCCCCCTCATCCCGCCGAGCTTGCGGCTCAGTCTGCTGCATACTTTGACGACCTTTTTGGTCCGGGCTCTAGGGTACGTACTTAATACATACCCTATTGTTATATTTGACTTTTCAAGGTCTTCGAACTATTTGGAGGACTAGAGTGTTTGGTCAAACGGAATATCATCGAGCCTTAAATGGGCCGGTGTCATAATATAACACTAAAGACTCGTGCTCTTTTAAATGAGATGTTATTATTTCAGAGTAATATTTTACTCGTGATTTTTAAAAATATGATATTTCAAAATTATTATTCTAATTTTATGTTGTTTAGGGGATGGTGAGGAGCTATGCTTCTTCTGCGGCTACAAACGGATATCATGCCGCGAATGGTACTCGTGCGGCAGGTCTAATTCTTAGCTCTTTGGTTTTTAAAGTCTTAAATTTGAGGCCCGTGGGGAATCAATGTCATGGGATGACTCAGGGTGTTCCGGTGCTCCATTCGTAAAATCGACAATTCCTACCCATAATCTCCACCGTAAACACCCACCCCGTCCCGACCTAAACACACCTCTCACTCCCTTCAATTGCACCATCAAGTTAATTTTGACTTTAAATCAAAATTTGACAACAATAATACTTATCAAATGGCAACATCACTGACTATTTGTATGATTTTTTTTAAACAAATTAATTAACTTGTTGCAGGTAATGGAGAAAGTAGCACCAATAGGGACCACAATACTTATCAAATGGCAAGAAATCCATGGCAATACAACTCCTCCATTTTCTATGGTGGCCAAGAAGATATTTATGTCCGACCCAGACCCGTACGTACCTTTATTAAATCATCATTAATCATTTTCCCTAATTACTTTTTCAAGAAAGTATAGTTAAATCCTCTCTCCGTTCCAAAAAGATCTTTGTTAAAGTGCATCCCACATCGGAAGTTTCAGAGTAAAATAATCAGTATATAAGCTCTTGAGTTGAACTAACTAATCGATTAGATTCAATCTTTTAATGTAGTTCAGCCAAAGTGTCTTATAGCCCAATCCAGTTGTCCATATCTCATCCTATATTCTATTAATTCTATCAATCTTCCTGTTTTATTTTTTGCGCATCTCATAAAACACTTCTATCCCGGCTCAAATGCAAAAACAATTTCTACCCACAATAAATGAGAAATGTGGTAAATTTTATACTCCCTCAGTCCCTCCGTTCCACAAAACACTTCCGTTTTAATTTTTTGCGTACCCCATAAAATACTTCTATCCCAACTAAAATGTCTAAAATACCCCTAAAACAACTTCTACCCGCAATAAACTACATAGTGAGGTATATTTTAGATATTTTAGGTTGAGTAAAAGCGTTTAATGAGGTGCACAAAAATTTAGGGCAGAAGGGTTTTAAGGAATGGAGGGAGTACATTTTAGATGTGTGTAGAAATATTTTATAAGATGCACAAAAAATAAAACAGGAAGACCTTTTTGGGATGGAGGGAGTATATAGATTATCCTAGCTAAGAAAATATGACTCATTTAATTACTTTGTTGTGCCCTTTATTGAATTATATTTTCCTAAATTTGTGGTCGATAATTGTTATCAGCCCCCAAGAAGGCCCGAAGATGACATAAATGATGAGACATATTGTAATATAGGAGATTGGTGGAAAGGTATATGTTTGTTTTAATTATTGGTTACTACAATTTCCGGATATTTAACTGTCACAAATTAAATTTAATTAATTATTTGAAATTTATGTAGAATTTTATAATAATATTTGTATACCTCGTATTAGTGTAGTTCAAAAAATGAGTAAAAATACCATCATCAACATAATATGTTTTCATTTCGTGACAACAAATAATTAAGAAAGTGTTGTTCTTTGATTTGCATTCGGAGTTTTTATTTAATTGATAATCAAAATTCGATTATTGCAGGGTCATACCACTACTAAGGTGGAGGGGGAATCTTAGAGGCACAAAAATAAATTAAACATCCAAAAAAAAAAGATAGCCAACAAGCAAGCTAAGGAGCTGCATGGGCATGCATATGGCACTTCAGTTTCCTTTTCTTTTTTTGTTGTGTTTCACTCTCTATATACAGTGGCTTATATATATCATATCCTTGCAATTATCCTATACATACATAACATATCTATGTGTATGCATGTATGTAAGTATGTAAAATAAGGGATAATATATATATAGACAAAGTTGGTATGAAAATGTGTATGTGTAATCTCTCTGAATATTGATCACCGTGTTTGATAAATCAAAAATATGAAATATAGTACGAATCGAGTAAGGCTTTAATGGCTTTATAGTGATACATGTATTTGCAATTTCTCTTTTTGATGTATATTGCTCTTTTTGCATTGCATTTCAATTTGCCAATACTAGGATTAAAAACCATATGAAATTTACAATCTTCATTCTTACAAATGAAGACCTTTTGCATCGATTATTTCCAAATAATGATTCAAAAGGTCTTCCCGATTTGATGCCAATCTCGTGGGAAGATTTTTTGCATCAGCTATTATTGGGAATCCGTGTGATGGGTTCAATCCCGCACCGGACAAATCAAATAAAATACACTCTCACTTAAAGAAAGGTAAGGCACTAGTTATTAGTTTGAGCTTTTGGATGTAAAGTAAATCCATAATTTATAGAGAAATTTACTCAAATAGCACAAAAACATAATGACTTTCCCTAAATAGCAATACATGTGTTTTTCTTCCCAATATAACACTTTTAGTCATCATTCAAGTAAATATTCTTCATCACTGGTCATTATAGACATTATTAAGTGCTATTTAGGGAATAAAACAATTTAAGTGTTATTTAGAAAAATGACTTAAGTTTTAGTGCTATTTAGTGCAAATATTTCTAATTTATATGGGCAAATGGTCAAATTTCACCCAACACTACAAAGTATGAGATTTATGTGTCTCAATTTCAAATAGATAGAAGTACACGAGTATAGATCTCTTAAAAGAGACTATCAGAAAGCATAAATGGTAGCAAAATAATCCACCATTATATTGGGACACCGATTATTAACAAATAACTAATGATGAATAATAATTCAAATTAATAATTAATTTATTGTGCCGGGGCAATGTTGTTTGCAAATTTCTTCAGAATCCCAACACCCATGAAGAATGCAGCACCAACACTGTGTTCCATCGGTACACGTTTTCTCCGTACAGAAAGAAGGAAGCCTCATTCTTTTCACTTCACTTCTTGGAACCCTACCTGCTTATAAATAAATGTACAATTAAAAAATTAATAAATAAATCATATGCATTATTAGATATTTGTTTTTCATGACATAAGAGAGAACACAATGTGTGATCCCAAAAGCAAGAAAGATGTGCCTTAAAAATAGATAGTTTTGAAAGACAAAAAAAGATGCATTCTAGAAAATAATATCAAAACTACACATTTTAAAGGCGCATCTTTTTCCGTCTTTGATATGGGACGGGGGAAGTATATAAGAGAGCTAGCTAGCATTAATACTCACATTCGGAGGAGCTAAAGAAAGTTGAAATTATGAGGCACAATATAAGTAAATATTTGAAGTTAATAGCAGTCATGGTAACGGATCATTGTATATTTCTTTTTTCTCTGTTTGATTATTGTGTAACAGTAACTAACTATTTGTGATTTTTGTGAGTATGCACAATGAAATTTTTTACTGAATTTATACATTTCAATCAATTCTATAATAGGTAAAGGTTATAATGAAGATTGAAATGAGTAAATAGCCAATCAACTAATTTGGTATCAAATCAATTGCTTACGGAGTACATTGCACGTACCCAAAGAAATCAATTATACACGTGATATATATAATCAAATTTGATATTGGTATTATAAGATTTTGAGGACTGTACTACGGTTACTTTTTCAAATTTAGTTGATTTTAATTTGCAGCGAAAAATAATTTTTTGTTCATATACTCCGTATATGTCTTTGTTTTGAAAAAAACAAGTCTTCAAAATTTCAAATATGACTTTGTTTTATACTTCATCTGTCCCTTTTAAGTCTTCAAAGACGACTTTTCACGATTTACAATGTAATATTTGGACAATTAATATACTCCCTCCGTCCCTAAATAAGCTTTCCCTTTCGTTTTTTCTTTGTCCCTAAATAAACTTATCTTTTCCCTTAAAAAACCCCTTTTACCCCTTACTTTTTCATACCCTATCTATCACATTATACCTTTTTACTAATAATCTACATATCACATCTTACTTTTACACATCACATCAAGGGTATTTTTGGAAAGTCAACACAAAAATATCCCTCCCTTAAATCCTCAAAATGTCAAAAAGGGAAGTTTATCCCTCCCACTATTCTAATGTACTTGTCCAATTTAATTTTTTGAATTAAATTGAACGAAGTTTAATTATTAATTACTCTCAATTTTTATTATATGTTAGTACAAAATTTTTAAAGTCTTGAACAAGATAAATCTACCGAAAGCATTTTTATACACATGAATTACAAATTTCATTTAATTCAGCTCCAAAGTTTTTCCAATTTTCTCAAAAAAGTCAAACTAGACGAATACACTATGACAGAGGTAGTATGTGTGTGTGTGTCTATATATATATATATATATATATATATATATATATAATGTACTTCTACTCAAAATAAATGTGTACTCCCTATATGATTAATTTTTACTCAAAATAAAGTATTATCTCATGATTTTTTTAATTCATCTTATTTGAATATTTGTATAGAAATAAAAAATAAAAATTACATATTTAAAAACATACATCAAATTTTGTGCAAAATAGACAAAGTTCTTGTGATTTTATTCGAATAATATTTTATTTTATCAAATACACAATGAATATTTGTATAGAAATAAAAAATAAAAATTACATATTTAAAAACATACATCAAATGTTGTAGGAAACGGACAAAGTTCTTGCAATTTTAACTTCTCATTTTGACTTTTGAAGTCAAACTTTTAAACTTTGACTGTATATTACGGAAAAAATATATTGAATTTTCATATAAACTTATTATCAATAGATTCATTTTGAAACATAGTTTTGAAATACTCCCTCCGTTCCTTTAAACTCTTCCACTTTTGACTTTGGATAAAAATAAGGAAAGTGCAATTTTGGTTGACTTTCCAATTTTGCCCCTGGTGTGATGGGTAAAAGTAAGATGTGATAGTTTGGTTATTAGGGAAAAAGTATGATGTGATAGGTAGGGTATGAAAAAGTAAGGGTAAAAGTGGTTTTTTAATAGAAAGTGGAAGTGTTTTAGGGAATTCAAAAAAACGAAAGAGGAAGGGTTTTGTGGAACGGATGGAGTATATTATTTTTATAATATATATTCATATAAAAATGGAGATATTAATGGTCAAAGTGTCGCATTGGAAACCGTGAAAGGTCAAATGAGAAGTTAATTTTAGGACGGAGGGAATAATATATATCATACATAAATAGAGAAATATTAACGATTAAAGTGTTGCGTTGAAATAATTAAAAAGTCAAATAGAAAGAATTTTTTGGAGGGAGAGATTATAATCTAAACAAATGCATATTTAAATTAATAAATAAGTACTTTATTTTTTATTTTATAAAACTTGATAGTAAGAATACTTACCGGAAGGATATAATCAAATTGAAACACCGGAAAAATACTTGCAGAAACACCAAATATATTTATTGTCCTGTATTTCATCAAAATAATGCATATAATATTTTTTCTGATAACATATTTATAACAGAGTACAAGGCTGATGTTCTTATATAGGGATTTCAGAACCAGTTTTTTGGCACACATTGTAGGCATGACTGTTTACAAAAGTGAAAACAATTATTGGCATTCATTAGGCATGGCATTTGGCACGGCATATCCGTGACTAGAATTAGGCACGACATTTGGCACATCTTCGTCCCGGCAAGTTATTAAAAATTAACGTTGCCTGACGGAAACGAAACGACGTAAAGGTTGTGAAATTGGCACGAACCTTAGGCACGGACAAGGTAGTGCCAAATTCAGCCTCGCACAGCATTGCACCATGTGGCATTTTCTCTCCATCGGCAAAGGCACGACGCAATCCGTGCCTAAAAATCCGTGCCTAATGTGTCATTTTTTTGTAGTGTATTAGGTAATATTTCAAAATTATGTTTCAAAATAAAAGTATTGATATTAGATGGCTAAAATCCACAATTGGTCCTTCAACTTTATCAGTTGTGCACGATTGGTCCTTCAAGTTTCAAAAGTCCATAAATAGTCCTTCAACTTTATGAGTTCTACACCATTGGTCCTTTAAGTTTCAAAAGTCCATAAGTAGTTCTTCAAGTACATGCCAGGCCTCCATATGAAGTTCTTTTGACAGTAAATATTAAAAGTTAAACGAAATACTAGTTTCATATAATACGAGTGAGTTCCACTAGGTACGAATACTCCGTATTATATGAAGCTAGTATTTCATTTAGCTTTTAACATTTACTGTCAAATTAAAAGGACATCATCTGGAGGGCTGACGTGTCTTTGAAGGACTATTTATGCACTTTTAAGACTTGAAGGACCAATCGTGCGTAACTCATAAAATTCAAGAACTATTTATGGACTTTTAAAATTTGAAGGATCAATTGTGCACAATTGATAAAGTTGAAGGACCAATGATGGAGTTTAGCCATGTTAGATTTATATCCCAATTCACCGTATTTAATTTTGGGAGAAAAACCAAAATAGCACTCAGGAGCATTAAAATACTCTAAATAGCAGTGCTATATGTTTCGTACCTGTGATTCCGATTTTGTCCTTTACACACTGCCAAAAAATATGATTATTTTGGGCAGTGTGGTTATTCACTTGCAACTGTGTAGTGGGCAGTGTGGTTTTTTATATGTGAGTATTTAATGTGGCAGTGTAAATGGATATATGTCATTATATCTTATGGCAGTGTGTAAGTGTATTATTGTGTTCCTTAATTTCATGTTGGAGTGTAATGTTCATTGATTTATGTGGTATGTAGTGTTTTCATGTATAAATTCTACACTGTCAAAAAGTGTATGACTATTTTCATGTATGAATTCCACACTGCCCAAAAAATGTATAGCTCTTTTTATT